ATTAGTTGGACTGGTTATTATTTGGTAACTGGACACGGCTAATAACAATATTTATAATATAATAATAATAATAATGATAAATAAAATAGATTAAGTTGTTATAACCTGAAAATTATAATTGGACTAATTGATTTATAAAAAAAAAAATAAATTATTAATATAGGTGTTGATATTAAAGAGATTGTCACGAACTGAGATTAGTTAATTAATTATTTAATAACTTTTATCAGACTTGATTAAAATTAATAAAGGATTATTGTATTAATTATCGAATTAGTTTAAATAGCTTAAATAATACTATCATATGAGATAATTGTTAAGTACAAACATATTTGTAATAAGGTATAATTGAAGTAATTTGAATATGTTCATAATCCGTATATGTTAACAATATTAAAATATAGTAAATTAATTGGATGTTTTAGAGGTAGAATAAATTAATGGTGATGAATAAATTAAAAAGTTGATTAATTAAATGCATTTCGGTTATTATAATATAATTATAGTATTCCAATAAAAGAAATCATGGCCGAAGTAATAAAGTGATTTCATTAATAAGAAGTGATTAAGAGATAAAATAAAATCGAATAACAAAGTGAAAGGGAAAATCGGGTAAATTATTAAAAATAGAGTAAGTGACTAATTATATCATCTTAATTAAAAAGGTGATTACTTAAAGACCAGAATAGAGGAGGAGAATTAGAAGCATCAAATTTGAGGTAACTTTCTCTGCCGATCCAAAATGATTTCCTCGTACTATATGTTATTATGTGATTAAGTGTGAATTTTGAATTATGTGTATGTGATTTTGAGGAGATATTAGATCTATGGTATTTGAGAAGTGCAAACTAAGTACTTTTGGGTATTCGAGTGTCTAATCATTCAAGAATTTTAAAGGTGGGGTAGTTTGTAGACTGAGTCCCGATTACTCGTGACGGCTTACTACTCGGAGGGCTTAGAATCGCTTTTAGGGGGTGTGCACACTTAAGTTAGTCGTTTCGTTTCCATTAGCAGTTGTGGTACCGGCAAAATTCCCGGGGTGGCCGTACATAATAACGTAACCACCGGGCTCAACTAGAGTGTTGAGCACCGCCCTTCTAAATTACTAGGAAGATAGAGAAGAAGTGAATTTTGAGAAATTCTAAGAGAAGAGTTACTATAGTATTTTCAAAGAAAATTTGAGGACTTAATTAAAGAAGTGATTTTGAGGAATATCAAAGAGAAAAGAATTTTGGTGGAGTGTGTCATTTTTATATAGTATTATATGAAAAACTATTTTTTTGCCAAACCTGATTATTTTACGGGGTTGGGTAGTACTTACTTAGCTCTAAAGCTAATTTTTGTTTCCTTTTCCCTGTTTTGTTTTCTGCACTTTATTTGTGCAGGTAATGATGCTTATTTGGATTGATGATTTGCATGGTCTTGAGAGCGGTTGAGATATGCCTTAGTCAAACCTAGTCAAGAATAAACACTTTAGTTATGTTGAACACTTGTTTTACTTTGTTTTGTTATTGCCTGTGCATTCGGTTAAGAGATGACCGGATGTGGCGGTAACACCCATTTCCCAATTAAGGTTAATTCCGCTGCAAAACTTTTTATCTGTTTTTGGATGAATAAATCAAGTTTATTATGAATAAATATATTATTTCAAGTATTATTTTGAGAGGGAAAATGGGGGTGTTACAAATAATCACTACGCTTCTTGATATATGCACGGCATTAAATACAAATTATTTACTGCATACTGTCTTCAATCCTGTTCAAGCTAGGGTTCATCTTCAACCTTTGGTTCGCCTTCAACCTCGACTACCTTGACTGGACAATCTGAGTTGTTGAAGCAGCGGCCCAGTGCCATTCTTTGAGAACATTAATTACTAACCCTAGTTTCATTAAATAGAACCCCACAAACCATAATCTCAAGCGGAAAGCGAGTAGACGCGAGGGTCGACGGAGGCAACGAGGAGGCGATCGTGCGATGGGGCAGCGATAATGAGTGCAGGCTGGGAAAGGGTAGCGGCTAGCACGAGCTGGACAAGGAGGCGAATATGCGGCGTGACAGATGAAGGAGGCGAATATGCGGCGTGATGGCAGTGGCAGGCATTGGGAGGCTAGAGGCTAGGGTTGAAGAAAATGAGTAGGAGGTTAGGGTTTTTTAGGAATAACCTAAAGGGTATATTAGTCCATAAAAATTAGTTGTTTAATTATTAATTACGAAATTAATTAAATATTACAAATAAGCTAACCTAATGTTATAAAAATGCAGGTATTGTCAAAAAGGCCCCCAATCAAAAAATCAATTAGATCCTTGTATTTTCAAACATTCAATAAAACCTCAAGATTTTAAAAGAGGCTTAATTGAACAATTTAACATGTAATCAACCGATTTCTTAGTTAACTGTAGTAGTGGAGTACGTATATGGTACACCCGGATGTACGGGTGAGAACCGTACATCCGGGTTTTTCTTTTAATTTTTTTAAGTTTCAGTCCAATTTTAATAACCCAATTTGAATAGGATTAAATGAATCCAATGGAAGGCCCACAAAAAAGGCCCAATTAAGAAAGACAGTCCATTTAATTAAAACAGCCTATTTTTTTCGGTGGCAGTTTTGTAATTTAAGCAAAAAATCATGGCTCCCGCTAAATGAGCAATAATGTAGTTTTGTTGAGCATCTCACATATTGTATCGAGTATTATGAGGCTAATAATGAGTATCACGATCTCTGCTTCATATCTTCTAATTCTTTTTTCTGCTAGAAAAACGTATTAAATTATATCTAAAATTCACTCCTATGAATTTCAATATGCGAGGCTAATGTAATATTATACTTTTGAAATATGCATTGATATGACATTTTAAAAATGAGCATAACATCAGTATGAAATGAGCATACATAACTTACAAAGTGCACATTGATATGAAAATTGTAAGGTTTGTTAGTTGAATATCATGACATTTTAATTGAGCATCAAACCGCTACTATTGAGATGAAAATCAAGACTTCTGGAGAATAAGTAATAGTGAACCTTTAATGAGCAACAGACCTATTCTGTTGAGTATTAGGAATCTAATATTCAGAATCGTGATCTCTGCTTCACAACTTTTAATTCACCTTCTTTTTATTATTTTTTTATCATAAGATTTGTTAGTTGAACATCACGACATTTTAATTGAGCATCAAACATCTACTATTGAGATGAAAATCATAGTTTCTTGTGAATGAGCAATAATGAACGTTTAATGAGCATCCAACCTATTATGTTGAGTATTAGGAGTCTATCATAAAATAACACTTTAAAAAAATGCATTGATATGACATTTAGAAAATGAGCATAAGATCAGTATCAAATGAGCATATAGGTAACTTACAACATGAGTATTACACCAAGATAAAATGAGCATATATACTTACAAAATGAATATCGTAAAAATTCAAAAAAAAACTCATTTAAAATCTCTAGTATGCTCAAATAGTAAATGAGAATGCATAACCTATGAAATGATAATCGAAAAAACTAAAATGAATATTATACCAATATGCATGAATATGCTCATTTTAAAATGAGTATTATACCAATATCAAATGAGCATAAGTAACTTACAACACGAGTATTACACCAAGATAAAATGAGCATACATACTTACAAAATAAGTATCGAAAAATTCAAAAAACTCATTTTTTTAGAAGAGAAAAAAATCTCTAGTAGGCTCAAATCAATAAAACTATATACGAAGTATATATATCTACAATGAAATCTCTGTCCAGGGGCGTAGACTCCACGGAAATCACCATCATCTCCGAATTGAAGCTTGTGGACTGTGGCTAGAGTCTGGAGGTCGTCAGTGGCTATAGGGTGACTAAATTGAGTTGTGGTGTATGTAATTAAGATTGTGATGAAATTGATTTCAAATGAGAAAAGCTCAGACTCGAATTGATATATGATGGGATAGTGGAGAAAAAATCCGGGAGTTGAGGTTAGCAGAATTCCTGAACTACAGGCCTCCAAAAGAAAAGATGAATCTGCAGGGGAAATCGCTACTCACATAACCAAAAGACGGGAAGATAGCAAGGTGGTAGGTTCGAATCTTAACAAAAAAAGCCCGGCTGTACCGTGAGGACGGTACAACCGGGTGTGTACCATATAATTTACGGTAGTGTCATGGTAATCACATGACAGTCCACGTGACAACTACTTCGTATTTTTTTATCTTTGTTTCTCTCTTTCTTTCCGTTCACTTTTTCTTCCCCTGGTTCTCTACTTGCCCGCTCCCTGTTCTCCACCGAGTTCATCCGCCGTCTTCACCAACCGCGGTTGCTACCCTGCTTCATCAATTATCGAGCATCGACCATCACCCATATCTTCCCCAACGCAAGTCAAACAAGAAATTTTTTAACCCTCTTTTGACTATTGCAATAGATAAATTAACAATTTCAAAATTATGGTGATGATAGCGAGCAAGAGAGGAAACCTCACAACAATTTCAATAATTCGAATAGAGATTCTAAAGTTTGGGATTGAAGGGAGGTTAAATTCACAATGTGTGGAGAAATGGGTCCTTGCAGATCGAAGTTTGAAGTCATGTGGGGAAGATGGCAGATGAACTCACCGGAGAACAATGAGCTGGCGAATAGAAAACCGTAGAAGAATAATGCAAACGGGGAGGGAGAAGAAAAGAATAAAAGAAATTGACAGCATGGAACCAAAGAAGAAGGAAACACGCAGAAAGATAGAAGGGGATGGAGATAAAGAAAGAGGAACCAGTGAAAGAGAGAAAGTAAGAAGAACCAATGAAGGAAAAGCAATCAGGGAAGAAGAAAGGTAACGAGGAGAAAGAAAATGAAAAAGGAAACAATTGTCACTTGGGCCACCACACGTGCAACTAAACGGGATTATAATTTGCAATCTAAATTGGTCTGATAATGTCTAGTTTTTTTGTATTTTATAATTATCCAAATCTAATCTGGTCTATTTCGGTCTGGGACAGATTATAATACAAGTAAAAACATCCTTGAATTGAACGTCTTTTAAAAGTCAATGATTTAGTTTTTTTTTGGGGGGGGGGAGGGGGTCACAGTACATATTTCATTGACTTATTTGACATAGATTCACCCAAACCTTGTTTCTCTACTGCCTCCTCCAAACACTAAAAACTACACGCACTAAATACTTGCAAGTGTTGTGACACAAAGGGAGGGTTGTTACACAAGTGCTAGACAGCAGGCTACATTCATCCAAACTGAAAAGTAACACTTTGATGACACACAGAAAAAAGACAAAACACACACTTTGGCAATTTCTCTACCACTCATCTTTTCTTAAAACCATACTTTTTACGCTCATAGAATAGATCAGTCTTGGCACTCCCAAGATTGACTATTTTAGGGCAACCATCACGATCCTTCTCCTGCTGTGTGCATTCCTTGCAGTAGTATGCATCAGAAATTCCAAGCCCCCCACAAATGACACATCTGCCCTGGAAAGATCCATAGTTGCATTCATCGCAAACCCGGACAAGCGTGCAAGGACGCACATAAGAATCACAAATCACACACTTGCCATCACATTTCTCACAAAGACGTCCAATGGCTATTCCCGGTTGCTTCCTGCACATAATCAAATCAGGATGGTGCTTGGCCATACTTGATTATCCAACCAAACTCTACTGTTATGCCAATTAGAATATATGTGATGGATGGGCAATCTGCAGAAAACACAACAACTCATATAATGTGCTAAAAAACATTACCTAGTTACCTACTAGAGAAGAAAAGAAGACACAGTTTTCAGGGGGGTGGGTCTTTAAAGGATTGGGGATTGTTTGGATTATGGAGAGGGGAAAGAATGGAATGGGAGAAAAAGATAACTGACATGTTGCCAGTGTACGTAGCTGAACAGGTTAATATGCAAAGGTACCAGGGTTCAATTCTTGGGGCAACCATGCACTGCAATGGATATTTGTAAATACCATGTGCAGAAATCAGATTCTAGTATTCTACCAACCATAATATTGTGATTATAGTTCAATTAAACCTTTCCAATAAATTATTCAGCTGATTCTCAAGTCTTTCGAGGATAAGGTGCATCCTTTTTAAGATAATGCTCAAATGTAATCTTGATTGGTTTTGTTGGAAAGAATAAGTGGATGGGTGGAAGGGATGCTTTAAGTTAAAATACAAGTTTTCCTTAAAAAAGACAAAAAATGCTTGGTGTACACGTTTTTGGTGTACACCTTTGGCACACTTGTCTGTCTACGGACAACTCTGTCTGCGTACAAATACAAGTGTGACAAAGGTGTACACAAAAAACGTGTACACCAAGCATGGCTCAAAAAAGACAAATGGGGTGAACCACAACACTAGGGGATACTAAATTACTAACTCATAACTATGTGAACCGAATGAGAGAGATGGTTCATTCAACACTAACTCAAAAAAAGTGAACCTGACAGACCCTTTGAAAATAAACTTATCTTGTTTAAAATGCCAATTAGTGGCCTAAAATGAATATCGAGCGAATCAATGTTAACTTGATGCATACTAATGAACCATGTTGAAGTAGGTGGAAAGAATTTATAATATCAATTAAATTAAATGTCTAAAACTGGTTAACACTACGAGCCCGTTTGATAGCACGAAAATCGACTGTTTTGGCTGATTCTGCTGAAATTTATGAAGTTCTGGCTGAAGTGGCTGCATTGGGTGATTCTACTGATTTAAGAAAAAATCATTTTAAAAATATATTTTATTAATAAAACAAAGAAAAAATTACATGTAAAAATAACTAAAATGTTCATCTACAGTAACTTCAGCCAATACAGCCAGAAAAGTAACTCCAACCTTACTTTTTCTGATTGTTACACAATTCAGCGCGTGAAAGTAAAAATTACGTGTTTGGTGAAAAAGTTGGCTGAAAAGCCTGATAAGCCGAAAAACAGTGTTACCAAACGGCCTCTACAAGAGTAAGGACGGCTTCCATTTGTGGTGTGTGCTCAGCAGCGTAACTAAACCTGTCTTGGATACAATTGCATAGTTAAAAGTGGTTAACACTACAATATGCCTGATGAGTAAAGTCTTACTCCGCCAATGTTATAGGTAGAAGGGAAAATGGGGCTATTAGGTTTGGAGTCCGAACTTTTCATAAAAAATAATGAAATGAAATCTGAACACATAAAACTTGTTTCTTCAATGGAATGCAAAGCAATATGGTGAAAAAAATATCACCCCATATGTTATTTGAGTAATACTAATCCAATTCCTCGAACCTAAAGTCAACCCTAATGCAACAATGGTTTCCGAACCGGGAAAAAAAACGAACTTTACCAAATGGTAGAAAGAACGGAAATTGACAAAGGAAAAAGCTCATCGAACATAAGTCCGATTCATATGCCTTCATTAGCTCCATAACAACAGTAATGATAAGGTGTGAGATAATCTACGCAGAAGGAAGAAAACCCCTAAACCAGGCCCTGTAGTTCTTCATCGGCGCATGTTCAACGACAGTCGATGAAATCGGCGTAAAAGGATTTATACTTCACGAAAGCAACATATGTACTAGCATAGAGTACAAAAGCAGCAATTTACCTGAAAAATCTGGGCGAGTTCTGATGATTTGATGCAAACTACTGCGTAAGATTTGCCTGATACGGACTACGGAGTAGAGCCAACACAGTATAATCCTGCTTCAGCACGACTCATGAATATGGGCTTGAAAGAAACTATACTGGGATTAATGAACCTAGGCCCGCTTCAATCCGGATTTTGTTTCGAAATTACCCTAACGGATTTTGGACTAAAAACGTTTATCCGTCTCTTATAATTTTGCTAACTTTCCTTTTTGGGTTGTCTCAAAAACTTTGTCACTTTCCATTTTAATCAATCAATTTGTGGCTCTTGTTATTTCTCTATCATACAGTTTTTACTTTATTGTTCTACGTGTAGGTCAAACTTGGCAAACCTTTAAGGGACAGAGGGAGTATATATATTCCAAAGATATGAGTAATTATTGTCATGTTTTGGCAATATTAGACTTTAAGAGCCCGTTTGGTAGCACCAAAATTGGCTGTTTTGACTGATTCTGCTGAAATTTATGAAATTCTAGCTGAAGTGGCTGCATTGGCTGATTCGGATGATTTAAGAAAAAAATATTTTTAAAATATATTTTATTAATAAAATAAAGAAAAAATTATATGTAAAAATAGCTAAAATAGTCATCTACAGTCAGTGGCGGAGCCACTTTAGTGCAAAAGTGTTCACTTGAACACCTAGTTTTTTTTTGCAAAAAGTGTTAGTATATATGTATAATTTTAGTTTAATTAGTTATTGTCTTTTTAAATTTTAGTTTTAGAAAAAAAATGAACACCCAAAGTTTAAATGATAGATCCGCCACTGTCTACAGTAACTTCAGTCAATACAACCAGAAAAGTAACTTCAACCTTATTTTTTTTGCTTATTACACAATTCAGCGCGCAAGCAAAAATTAAGTGTTTGATGAAAAAGTTGGCTGATAAGCCTGATAAGTCAAAAAATAGTGTTGTCAAACGGCCTCTAAACATAACAATATTATCCAAACTTGACAGTAATTACTCTATGTTGAGTTTAATCCAACACGATATAGTAAATATATGTATGAACACTCAGTTTTTACGTGGAAACCCGAAAGGGAGAAAACCACGGGACTTTTTAGGCTAATGTCCAAGCCCTCTCTTTCTCATTAGGACTCTCCTCACCATTACATAGTACATTTTGAGCTCCCATTAATGGAGTCTTGTAAGCTATTCTAGAGGAAGAAGGAAGAAGGAAAAGATCCTTTACATGGAGGCTAAGCTCCCTATTTATAGACAAAGGGGAAAGGGTGCTCTCCACCCTAATGGGCCAAACGGGCCAATATTGGGCCTAATGGGCCGAAATGGGCCTAGCTGCTCGGGCTCCGTACTGGATAATGTCTTGGGCTCCTGAACAGTAATAGGCCGGGATAATATATCCCAACACTCTATTTTAACAATATAAAGATGGTAGTCCTGTGTTGGAATTCTCAAACATTTTTACTCCTACTTGAGAAAATTTTCCATTTTGTTTATTACTAGAGTAACACCCGGGATGTCAATACCATTACTTTCATATGAATTAAAATAGTAAATACTATCCTCGGTTTCTTTTTAATCGCAACATGTTTAATTTTGCACTATTCACATGCTCTACTTTGACTACATTTTACGCTATTATTTTATGAAAATTATTTTTTAAAAAGATATTGTTCAATTCATCTCATTACAAAGTTTCATTATTCGATTTTTATTTTATTTTTACTAAATAGAGATTAAGATATAATTACGGTCAAAGACGTGTGTTGGCAAATATGAAATGTTGACCGTTGCAACTAAAAAAGAACGGAGGAAATAGTATGGAGTAAAAGGTGTTATGAATTATTTAGTAATATTTTAATTGGGGTGGGTGCAAAAAATCGTAATTGTTTAACCATACCGAAAAAACTGGAAACCGTTACTTTTTTCGGTTAATTGGACTGGTTTTATTTAAATCATGGTATGGTTAACCGACTTCAAGGAAAAAGCGGTTTGAGGTTACGTTTTTCAAAATATGCTATGGCCGGTTCTAATAGATTTTGACCGGAAGCTGAATAGTGTTATGGAAAACAGCATGTTAATTAATGCTATAATGCCTGGATTAAATTTAGAAAAAATAATAAACATATTGTAGCATTAATAAGGTGCTTTTCTAAATAGTCTAGGATACTCACCTGCCAAATTTACTAATCTATTAAATCTTAGCTTTAACTAATACAATCATTTGACCTTTGGTATTCCAATGTAGACTTCAAATAAATGTTAATTGTTGGCATGCATCTAAGATGTTATCCCAATGCAACATCACATTTTTTACACAAATAATTCCATTATAGTGGTGAACCAGAGTTACTAGACCTGCTCAACATGGGCATAAAGTTAAAGATGAGCAGTGTGTGCTAATGAATGTTTTGCATTCATGAAAATTACTCCGTACAAGTCTAGAGTTGGCATTCCCTATCAAAGAATTAAGCTTTTTGTGGTACATACTGATGGGAAAAACAGCCACAAACGGTAACTAATAAAATGCGGAATTAATCACTGTTTGGCTAAACTTTCCCAACTTGAATGAACCTTTGAGGATGCAAACAAATCGGGTGTTCTTAATGCAATTAGAACACACACAATATTGCTGCCACACACCAATATAATCAACTAAAGCAGTAAGCACACACCACACAAAAACACCGGAATTTTAGCGTGGAAAACCCGTTAACTAGGGAAAAACCACGGGACCATTTTGGCCGCTTAAATCCACTATCATCATCAAAGGAGCAATACAAAGTCTTCTCTAGATATTACTAGAGGCATACAAAATCATCATATCCTTGGAAGTAAGCACATCAAGGTGTATGGAATCAAATAGAGCCAAGATAAGAAAAAATATCACCAGAAAAATAGCTACTGTCCAGACCAACGAAACCCGACCTCCGGACCTCAAAACCCGATCTCCACCGTCCAGAATGTTGGCCTAGATGCTGTGAAGCTGCTGTCCAAAAATCACGACGATCCAACGGTTCAATCTTCGGGAAACGGATCTTTTGCGCTACTACCTGCTGGAAAATGAGATGAGCATTTCCGCTCATGTTTTGTGACTTGTTCTCTCTTATCTGCTGCTCTCTTTCTGTCCTCGTAATCTCAGATAGTGGCTGACCCCTTATTATTATTAGCTCCCAAAAAAAGAAAGTCAAAGAAGACTTTTAATGGGCTCAAAGTTGGGCTTTCCTCATGGGTCAAAAATAAAGAAAGAAACCCAACAAATCTCCCCCTTTTTGACTTGAGGAAGAGTTCTCTATACCGGCGATGGAGCAACATACCTTAACCTTTTCCCTCGCAAGAACCTTCGTCAACATATCGGCACCATTATCATCGGTATGCACTTTATAAAGTTCAAACAGTTTGTCTTCGAGTGCATCTCTAATCCAATGATACCTCACATCAATATGTTTGGTTCGTTTGTGAAACATAGAATTTTTAGCAAGGTGAATGGTACTTTGATTATCACAAAGAACCACGTAGCGCTGTTGCATAAAGCCAATCTCTTGCATAAATCTTTTGAGCCATAATAGCTCCTTACACGCTTCTGTTGCAGCCACATACTCAGCCTCGGTGGTGGATAAAACCACACACTTTTGCAGTCTCGATTGCCATGACACAGCTCCCCCTGCAAAAGTCATCAAATATCCTGAAGTGGATTTCATGTTGTCCTTATTTCCTGCCATACCACCAACAAGTATTGGCTTCCCATTTCCAATTGTTATGCCCAATTTGGAAGTACCACGTAGATATCTGAGAATCCACTTCACTGCTTCCCAATGCTTCTTACCTGGATTTGACTGAAAACGACTAACAACACCTACTGCATGGGCAATATCAGGTCATGTACACACCATAACATACATCAAGCTCCCTACAGCTGAAGCATAATGAACTCTATCCATCTCTTCAATCTTCTTCTCAGAAGATGGACAATCTTTATCTGTCACCCTGAAGTTGGTAGTAAGAGGTGAACTAACCTCTTTAGCTTTGTCCATGTTGAATCTGCGAAACACCTTCTCAATGTATTGCTTCTGTGACATGTGTAGATTCTTCAAAGCTCTATCTCGAGTGATTCGAATGCCAAGAATCTGTTTTGCTGGCCCCAAGTCTTTCATAGCAAAAGACTTGCTCAATTGCATCTTCAACTGAGTAATTCTTTCTGCATTCTTGCCAACAATTAACATGTCATCAACATATAACAATAAAATTGTAACATTGTCCCAAAATTATATTTACTTTTAAGTAAATAATGTATTGAACCTTATGGAATGGTCAATGAATTTACGAACTTGTAAGTTTTTATTAATTCTTTGTGCGTGAATAGTAGTGGGGCCCACACCGGGAGCGGGGGCCACCCGATATTCCCGAGACCACATATTTTATTCATATTGGTCTAAATAATATTTATATAGTGGTGGATATTTTATTCGGGCCATGGGAAGGTCAAAGGTTGACCGATTGGTCAAAAGAGGCCAATTGCCGGTACTGACAATTTATGAGATAACAGCCCGAAAAATGAATTTCGGAGACTTCTAAATTAAAGTTTTGGAATATGTATTATTTCAAAAGACCGTTATGATGGAGAGTACATAATATATTTCATTTGGCCCGATAAAATAAAATATATTTAAAACAGTCCGAAAAATACAACTTTCGGGGCCCAATGTACATTTTGGGACACAAAGGGATGACCTCTTACATGAGTGGGGGCCACCCCACGTTTTTGTGAGCTGGGATAGGCAAGGAAATGGGCTGGTTGACTTGTAAGGGAAGAGGGTGAGGTGATGAGCATCAAAGGTACACCCATGGACCCCATTCTCCCTCACTCATTGTCCAAGCAAGACAAAAGAGCCAACTCCAACCCCCCTCACTCCATTAGCTCGGCCAGACAATCCAAGGGAAAGAGAAGGAGCTTCAAACTCACCTCCATTGCTGCAAATTAGAGCTCAAGCTTTAGTGCTCAAAGGAAGAAGATTAAAGAGGGAAAAAGTTGGGAAAAGTGTGAACAATTAAGGTAATGACCTTATTATAACTTTTCCTTTATTTTTCTTCTACCATATGAAGTATATATCATATGAAGGACCCTTAGTATGGTTCCACATGTTATAAGTATGGATTTATGGGTTGGAAGGTGG